CGAGAATTGTGACAGCTAGGCTGAGTGCTGGGCCATTAAAACTGTTAAAATCAAGAAATTGTGAGTTTCTTTGTCGACGAAAACCGATTCCCGACAAAAGTGGCGACCCAGCCAGGACCGACTGAAGATATTCAAAACTTTGATATCGATTTGTACCCGTAAAAAACACAGCACAGCGCACAGATAACGTGTAAACAACATGTCGGAGCTGGAACAAGCGCTGAAGAAGATCGACTCTAAATTCCGGCTATTGGAATTCACGCGAGATGACGTCCCCAGAATTCAAGAAAAGAAAGATTTGAAGGCGACAGAGCGATTGCAGAAGACTTTGGAGAAACAGATCGATAGCGTTCACGAACAGATGGTGGAAATACAAGCACTGAAAATAGAGAAAGGAGAAGAACCGGACCACGTGCGTAAATGGAGCTTGGGGATCGAAAAACAAGTCGCAGAATACGAAGAGATAACTCAGGATGTTAGGAAAACCGTCAAAAACCTGCGTGAAGAAGCCTCACGGGAAGCGAAATGGGAGGAAGAGAAGGCCGAAGAGGAAAATCGCAAGCGGCGTTATGAAGAAGAGCTAAAATTAGAGGAGGCGAAAATGCAGATTAAGAGAGATTTTGAGAAGAAAATGGAAGAAGATCGGAACAAGTCCGTGAAGGAAAGCGGTGCAAAGCTGCCAAAATTAACTATAACTAAGTTCCAAGGTACCCATTTGGATTGGCTACGATTTTGGAGTCAGTTCGACACCGAAATAGACCAAGCTGCCATTACGCAAGTGGCAAAGTTCTCGTACCTGAAAGAGCTCCTTGTCCCGAAAGTTCGATCTGCCGTCGATGGCCTACCTTACAACACCGAGGGATACGAACGTGCTAAAGCTATCTTAACAGCGAAGTACGGAAAACCGAGTGAAGTCGCCAACGCCCACATCCAGCGTATTATTGCTTTGCCTACTGTACAGGGATCGCAGCCAGCAAAAGTACACGATTTTTATGAAAAACTGGCCACAAACGTTCAAGCACTCGACACGATGGGAAAAATAAAGGAAATCAACGGTTATGTTAGAGTCACTCTGGACAAATTACCTGGTATCAGGGCTGACCTTGTTCGCTTGGATGACAACTGGCATGAGTGGGCGTTCCCTCAGATGTTGGAGGCACTTCGTAAATGGTGTGACAGGAATCCTTTAAACTCTTCCGACCAACCAAACAAGTCGCGAGACAGATTATTCAACTCAAGGCAAGAAGATTATCGACAAAGACCGTGCGTTTACTGCAATTCAACCAGCCACAAGTCTGTTAACTGTGACAAGATAGCGAGTGTCGGAGACAGGAAGAAGCATCTCAGTGAGAGAAGGTTGTGTTTTAATTGCACTGGCACAAGACACAGAGCTACAGATTGTCGTATTACTAGAGGCTGCCAGAAGTGTCATGGAAGACACCACACATCAATCTGTGACAAAGAGCCCCAACAGTTACTACTAGCTACATTTGAAGATGAAGTTGTTTACCCAGTGGTAGTCGTCAACGTGAATGGGATAACATGCCGAGCTTTATTGGACACAGGGGCCGGAAGCTCTTATGCTTCAGCTACATTGGTCAAGCACCTTGGGAAACAACCAGCCAGATCAGTGTTCAAGAAGATTGACATGATGCTGTGCTCAACCAACCAGAAAATTGAACAGTATGATGTCAGCATTTCAAGTATTCAAGGGAAATTTGAGATGACAACGATGGTGAGTAAGGTCGATAAGAGTGTCCTTCTATCAATTCCAAATCCCAGATACGCTGATAAGATCAAGACATTTTCACACCTCGCGGGTGTTACCATGGATGATGAAGATACCAAGCCCGAACTACCAATTCATCTAATACTGGGAGCAAGTGAGTACTCCAGAATAAAGACCCACACTAAGCCGAAGATTGGCAAGGCTGGTGAACCGATCGCTGAACTAACTACACTGGGGTGGACCATGATGTCGGCAGGCAAGGAAATGGGGCTAAACAGTGTCTACCTGACCAGAACGTCTTCAGTAGAGTATCAACAGCTGTGTAGTCTAGACGTGTTGGGCCTTCAAGACAGACCAGATGGAGATCAGCAGAGCGTGTATGAAGAATTTAAAGAACAGTTAAGGCGGAGCGACGAGGGATGGTATGAAACAGGTTTGCTGTGGAAACATGGTCACAAGCCGCTCCAAAGCAACGAGCATGGAAGTCTCCGAAGACTTGAAAACCTCACGAAGAAACTTCAAAGACAGCCCGATCTCCTCGCGCAGTATGACCAGATAATTCAAGACCAACTGGAGACGGGGATCGTTGAGAGAGTGACGTCAGAACCTGTAGGAAGGGAGTTTTACATTCCACACAAGCCTGTCATTAGAGAGTCAGCTGAATCCACCAAACTGCGAATTGTGTTCGATGCATCAGCGAAAGCTAACGAGAAGAGTCCATCATTGAACGACTGCTTGGAAACAGGACCGGCTCTTCAGAACCTCCTGTGGGATGTTCTAGTGCGAAACCGCCTGAAACCAATAGCTCTGGCCGGCGACCTAAAGCAAGCATTTCTACAGGTGCGCATTCGGATGGAAGATCGAGATGCCCTTCGGTTCCACTGGTTTAAGAACAAAGCGACATCTGAAGTAGAAGTTCTCAGGTTCACCCGTGCACTGTTTGGCCTTGTGCAGTCACCTTTCTTGCTAGGAGGGACATTGCAGCAACACTTGGAGAGCCAGAGAGAAAAGTACCCAAAAGAAGTAGAAGACATCCTGCAGAGCTTGTATGTTGACGATGTGATAACTGGTGGAGAAACCGTGGAGGAGGTGCGCGCACTCAAGGAAATTGCCGTGGCAGTATTTGGAGAAGCCCAGTTCGAGCTACACAAGTGGCATTCCAATGCACCAGAGTTGGAAGTGAACTCAGCACCAGATGAATGCAACCAAAGTTATGCCAAGGAACAACTCGGAGTTAAACCTGGAGAAACAAAGATGTTAGGCCTACCATGGAACAAAACCGAAGACACGATTGCTGTAACCTTCCCGGAGTCACCCCCTGAAGTAACCAAGAGAGAAATGTTGCGATTCCTTGCTTCAATTTACGATCCACTGGGTGTCACATCACCAGTATCTCTCGTCGGAAAGCTGCTTTACCGAGAGGTGTGCGACCTGAACCAATCATGGGACAAGGAAGTACCAAAGTATATCGAAAGAAAGTGGAAACAATTCGAGAAAAA